GCATAAAATATTACCCCCTTGAGGTAGAGAGGGCCAGTTGGTTTTATACAGTGTTTAAAATCCTGGAAAATCAGTCCTTCCTCCTTCATTGATGCAGCCATTTTTTTCCCCTTGGCTCTCTTTCCCCTTGGCTCTCTTCATTACAAAAGGAATGCGAGAAAATATACATAAGCCAAAAGCTACACCCATTTAACACTTGATCAGTGACAGCTTTTAGCAGGGCCTGTGTGCCAGCGAGCCTGCTAGATTCTCTGGAGGAGTCAGCTCATCCCGTGTCACGTACTTTGTTATTCCTGGACACTGAGGCATCAGGAAGACCTTGATCTACTGGGATTGCAGTGGCCTTTCCTGGAGTTTGGCTTGGGGGGAGAGGATACAGCCGAACGTGGAGACAGGAAGCTAAGAGTTCACTGCATGGTTGTGCGGTGCCAGGGCAGCCACCAGTAAGGGAACCTGCCAATCTTCCTGCACTGTGCCTTCATACTTAGGGCTTTTCTTTCCTTCTCCAGAATCGGTAGTTAGTGTCTGTGCTGATCTAAGAACAGCTCCCAATAAATCATTGTAAGTCCCTTGTGTGGCCTAGTGTCCCGAAACTGATTGCCAGAACATTGTAGAACTGGTTCTGTTGGTTTAGAAGCTGCAGGCCCAGTGGCTATACCCATGAATTGGTTTGGCTTTGTTTCAGGTGGGGAGGTGCTATGGCAGAGTACAGCAGACACAGGTTTGGATACCATGGTATGAGGTCCAGCATATGCATTTAACAGGGGTGTGACAGGGGCAAGTTCCTTTACCTCCCTGAGCCATAGTTTCTTCTGGAAAAGTAGGGATGACAGTAGGAAATAACCATTAGGGCTGTTTTCAAACTGAATTGAGAAAGTACATAAAAGTTTATAGCACAGGGCTTGGCATGTAATAAATTGTTCCTGTTGTTAAAGGCTGCTCTTACTGGATTTTTCTGTTGATTTTGCCATATGTTCAGAAACTTAGGTATGTTTGGGATGTTTTCTGACGCCATTAAGAGTCACATTGTGGCCAGCCATACTGGCACATACCTTTTAATCCCAGCACTCAGGAAGCAGAGGCGTGAGGATCTCTGTGAGTTAGAGGCCAGGCAGGCATAGAACTACATAATAACTTCTACGCCACCCAGGGCTGCACAGTGAGACCTTGTCTCCAAAAACAGTCACGCTGTGGATGTAGCAAAGTCGGTAGAGTGATT